CACACATTATTCAATAAAATAATATTACACGTAAATTCAAAAACATTTTCTTGATTTTTAACCACACATTCTGCATCAATTTACTATTTAAAATGCATTATTTCCCCCAAAACGTGGCTCTAACAAGGGCATAAAATCAGCACATGTAGTAGCAGCCTTGAAATTTCTTTCATAGCAAGTTTTGCTTGAATTGTCTTCTTCTTTTTTTTAATAAGTAAAATAAAATTATCTTTGTACCTCTTAAATTCCCAAACATGTTCATGTTTGGCGATATTTTTGGCTTAATGTTTTGCTGCATGATACAAGAGGATAACAAAGGAAAGATTCAATAACATTGCAATTTATTTCACTCTGTGCAAAACCTCATTTTTCAACTCGGATTAATTGTTTCTTTGGACAAAATAAGTGGGATTCACTATAAATATGTATGCAGTGGCTAAACAAGGCCTGTTTTGCTCAAACAGTCAAGCCGAAACACTTACAATCAATAGATCATTGGTGATCTCGTTCAGGAGTCCGTTGAGCATGTGCTTCTCCACATCCTTTATGATAAAGTCCTGTTCAGGGTACGCAAACATCATGTCATCCCATCCAAAATCCCACGCACTGTTAACATCTAAATCCCTGTTATGGATGTCTCTGTCAAGCATTTTATACAGGTAGTCTGCTACATCACATTCGTCATTCCCATTGTCCACGTAGATCTTTAACATTTCGAAGTCTTTGTAGAGTTGCTTTACCAAATCATCAAAGGACCTTACTTTTGGATGACTGATTGAAGTTGTAGTATAGGGATGCACTGTGACTTCTTGTCTCCATGCTTTTCTTTTCATTACTTCGTATCCACAATCCAATATGAGCTTCATGTTTGCATCTTCACCATTGTGATCACCAGCGCGAATAAAGCTTTCAGATAAATCGAGCTTGTAAAGTGTTTCTGCCGCATTTAGAAATGACTGACTTTTGATTAGCATCACTTTGAGATACTTTTCAGATTCTGTAAGTTGGTCTTGACTCGCGGGACTTTTCTTGTACTCATGCTGGGAAAAGTTGCATAATTCCAAGCCTGCTTCACGGACTCCTGCAGTGTCTACTGTTATAAATTAATCATCAGTACATTAGATGTGCCATCACTAGTGGAACTCATTTTTATACAGGATCTCCAAATATTACTATGCTGGAAGCACAGGAGTGTTTGCGAAGATAAATATGGTCAAAATTTACAAAAGGCCTCTTATGGTAAATTACATGGTCTTCTTATGGTTTCAGAGGTTATTGGCTTGAGGAAATGATTGTCTTCTAGTTGAATCAAAGAATCTGCATATACTGTTTTCCCCCCCTTGATGATCTTAAATATGGATGGGGTTTGAAGTTCTTTCAGTGAAGTAAAATATGGGGGTTGACTTGAGGATAAAGAAGAGAGACTAATAACTTTGGGATTTTTTTTTGGGGGGGGGGGGGGGGGTGCTTATTTGACATCGGAATTGATGACTCCACAAAAAATGAAACTCATAGAATTAGACACTTACCAGTTGATTGAATGCATTCTTTGAATTCATGCGCTTCGGTAAAAGCATATGGCTGATCTCCACTCTGGTAATCATCAATAACCTTGACTGACTTCGGGGCTAAATCTTGACACTGTAAGGCCAACAAAACATACTTTTATGTTATTCTCCCTAAAGCATATTTATATACATGAACTCAATTTTTATTGTCTAGGTTATTCTATTCACTTACCCTGTCATTTGGAGTTAGCATGTCCAGACATTTCTGAGTTTGGCATTCATCTGCAACAGAATTGTTTAAAATGGTAGTTTGTCCAGCATCATTTTGCAACTTATCTGACTCTTTAAGCGGTTCATTTATTCTTTCTGAATCTTTACATCTAATAATGGCTACTTCTTCTTCCTTGAGCTGGTCTGGCTTCTGCTGTTTCACTCGTAACATGACAGTTGAATGTTTCAGTGGTCTTGTAGAGTGATTCCCCATTCCATTTCTTCTAGTCATCACTACATCTATCTTCGGATGCTTCTCATTTCTACGAATTTGCACAGCCTTCTGTGTGGCTACTACATCCATAGGCTTCTCTTTTGCAAGCAGAGGAGTGCTACCCCCTTCTTTCTGCATCTCATTTTCTAGTTCTTTGGTAGATGAGTTTTGACTTTGGAGGTCATTCATGGAAATTTTCAGATTGACCGTGGAGTTATAAGAGGCGGTAATTCGGGAATCATACTGTTGTCTGCTGTTTGGTGAATCTTTCAGGGACACCTTTTCCAATTGTTTGATAGATTTTCTGTTAGCTGGTGTAGCCTTAGCATTTGATTGTTTCTTTTGCAAACTTGTTACTTTGCTCTTGGGTTTAGATGCAATCATGCGTTCCACTTGATGCCCTTTAAGATTTTTGGGCTGCAAATTTTGTTTCAGAAGCTGTTGCCCACTTTTTTCTGCTTGACTCTTGTTCTCTGAACGATCAGGTTTGGTAGGCACCGGCACTTGATGCAGTTCTTGGTCATCCTGCAGCTTTTGTGGATTACTTCGGAGGACCTCATTTGCACTGCTTTTTGGCAGGTGATCTACGATTACCTTGGACTCGATGTTTTCTTGTGCTATTTCAGCTTCTGGTTTTCTGACTTTTTGTTGTGGCTTCTGCTGCAGCTCAGTGTTTGAGATTGAATTGCTTCCTCGTGTGTCAGCCATTTTCCTTTCTCTGTATTTTGTAACATTCTCTTGTGTCTTGCTCTCCTGGAAATTCTGAAATCCCGGAACTTGATTTGGTTCACTGATGCGATTTCTCTGCTTGTTCATTGCAATGGTCTCTGTTTTTGGGCCTGACTGTGCATCCACACCAACTGCTTGTATCTTCATGTCTTGTCGCGGTGGATTTTTACCAGAAATTACCGTTTCAGATTTGCCACTTGAAGTTACTTGATTCTTCTCTATTTCAACATCAAATTTAGCATCCCTGGTTGCTGGTGCATGGTTGGTTTGAATCAACTTTTTATTAGTACTAAGAGGTGATCCGTTCTTACCGTCCCTATCGAGTGGTTGAGGCAACTTTGAATTTTTGTTTGAGATTTTCCCTTCCTTCTTTTTTTGGCTTGAATCTTTTTGCACACACTTGGAATCTTCCTTTTGAGGAAGTTCTTCGAGTCCCATAAGTTTTGCAATGACATTTGACATTCTCCCTTTGTCTTGTGTACACTGTGGTGAACCTGGGTGAATTTTGGGCTTCACATATGCAGAACGAGAATCAAAATCTGGAACACAGCTAGCGGACCTCTTATGTGGAGCTATCTTTGAGCTACTTAAAACTTGTTTAGGGCTTTCAGCTGGATATGTTAAGACCATCAGTTGCTGCGTAAAATCATTCTGGCTAGAATCTCTTGAAACATACGAGTTCTTGTCGTGTTTATCAAAAGAGAACCTTGGCCTATCCAGTATCCTCTTGTCAACTATGTTATCGTTGTTATCTTCATCGTCTTCATCCTCATCAAGTAGCTTAATACGACTTTTTTGTTGAGGGCTGATCATGTATTCTGAAGCTTCCTGCAGGTTTACGAGCATTTTCAAGGATTCTTCCAAGTCCATTGCCCCTTTCAACAGTTCTTTCCCAACTTGTATGGAGTTCCTATCGAAATTATGGCCATTGGAACAAGCTCTTAGAATCTGATTCAGCTTCTGTATTCCTTTTGATATTTCTGTTATATGAATGTGAGAGACAGTAGGGAACTGATTGGTTGAAAGACCCTGCTTATTGCTTATTTTCATCTTTCCAGTGTCTACTGATCTGCGACCAAATCGATTGAAAAAATTCACCAGTGGATTATTGCTTGAAGAGGTGATTTTGAGTTTCCCACCATTTTCAAGCGCAAAAGCTATGGCCGTTGAGAGATCTCCTGCTTGTCTAGAGCCATGGCCTCTGTCAGAGAGAACAATTTGTTTTGAAGATTCATCATTACTGATTGCTCTGCTGCCTGCATTAGACTTTCTGAACGTGTTTCCTGTTCTGGAACTAGCCTGCTGGGAAATATGGCATGGCAATTGAATGAATTAGTCCTTGTATGTCAAGAATTTAGCTTCCCAGAATGATGTGCAATTTTCTATCGTTAGAAAAATGAGACTTACAGATTGTGAGGCCTTTATTTGCCGACCGCCACTGTAAGTTTGCCCACGATTTACATACGTAGCTGTCATGTCGAGACATGATAGCACAGGAGAAAAAGGAAAGAATATTTGTGAGAATTCACGTGCACACACAATAACACGGTAAAACAAAGAAATTGATTACACGTTTGTCATTTGTCCAACGGCCAACCTGACCTCCAGATTTGTATATATATTGTATGCAGGCACTATAATCCTAAGGTCCAAATGACACCATCCTTACATACCAATTAATAACCTTTATTTCCTTTTTGAAACCCACCTCGGGAAACAATTCGCCTCTCAGTGCAGACTATCAGATTTAAATTTTAAGAGTATGAATATCAGCAAAAAAGCACGTCTTCTTCTATGGTTTGTTTGGTAGATTAGACAGCACTTGACGGGGTTAAATATGAAAAATAAGCGTATGAATATCAGCAAAAAAGCACGTCTTCTTCTATGGTTTGTTTGGTAGATTAGACAGCACTTGACTGGATTAAATATGAAAAATAAGCGAGATTCTTGTATGTTACTGTAGTACGAAGTACCGTCTAGTCTTACGTAACAACTAAAAAACATAGTCTTGTTCTTGGGATGCCTTTGCAGAAATATTCTGAACAGAAAGATTTAGGATTTACTTGGAACTCGAAAGGAGCCAACGCTGTCACCTCAGCCCTCATGTGATATTCCTAGTTTTTTTACACCCGTGAGAGAGATATGCCAAGAGAGGTATGGAAAAAGGAATAGGACCAATGAACAAGACTACAATAATTAATGACACGAATGAAAAAGGAATAGGACCAATGAACAAGACAACAATAATTAATGACACGAACAGTTTCTTTAATTCGTTTACTGATATGTTTTTCAGTGAAGTCCTACCAGTATTACTACTAAGTGTTTCTTCAAAAGCAATTTAACAAGAATATTGCCCAATCAAGTCATGGAATTAGTCCTTGAAATCAATCATGAATCATTCTACTTTTATTGAACATGTTAAAGAACATAATTCTTGTCTGTAATCATACTGGAAATAATCATGTTACCTGTAGACATTTGGTTGGAATGTTGGCCCGAATTTTGAGTTGCAGCCATCCGTTCTTTACGCAGACGAAGATCATGCAGTAACTTCTGCGCGAAATCTGATTTTGACGCCATGTTAATTGTTTCCCGAGCCCAGAAATTTCAAGGCCACGCTCAAAAATCTGTGTTTGTTGGCTATTTCTGGAATGAAAAACTCAAATAGAAACTAGAAATAAGTTTGAGAGACGTGGAAATGGAGAATATCCTTAGATTGTGTTGGAGGTTAGATCTTTGTACATGTAAGAAGGAATTGTATTGTTCTTTATCACTTTGGTGGGAGGGTACTTTCAGTGTTGGGTAAGATGGACAGCGGGGAAAAAGGATAATCAAAATGGTGATGGGAATTTTTACTCTGAAAGTTTGTCGTGAAAGTTACATCTCTCTCTCTCTCTCTCTCTCTCTCTCTCGCGCTCTCTGTGTGTCGGGTCAGTGGATGCTATATGTAAAAATGCTTGCTTTTATTTCACTCCAAGCAATGACACTAAGGTCTCAACTTTGAATAGCTTCATTTGCAGACGTAAATTAAACGGTAACATAATTTGTCTTTGGATATTTGCCTTGTTCACACTGAAAGACTGACAGTAGTTTAAGAAATTTAACGTTAAAATTACCTCAGATTCCAGTTCCCATTCTGCAGAAATAGGGTTGGCACGCTTGGGTGAACTTGGAGCACCGTTGTCCGTGGATAAGAAGTAGAGCAACATTAGGTGTGGGTTTGTCTTTATGGGCAAACGGCACTTTAACACCCTTTTGTCTATAAAAGTATGTACTCCCCACTCTTAAAAAGTTTGAGATAGACTACGTTGAGAAAAATATTGCACACACTTTATTGACGGCACTTCAACCATAGAAACAGAGATTTTGGTCATTTTATTTAGTCTTATTGCATTAATGACATGTTCGGTAGTAATTATGAGAATTGATTTTTTATCGTTAGAGAGAAAAGTGGATCTCAGAGTGAAGAAGTAAAAAACGACAATTAGAATAATGAAATAATGGTAAAAAAAATTTTGATTTTCTTTGGTGAAAAATTGCTACCAAATGGAGACTTAAATTTGAGAAGATGTTGAAAAGTTCATGAAATTATTTAGCAAGAAAAAATAAGGAAAGAAAGGTTCATGGGACAACGAGTGTTAGACCGTTGTGGGTTGTGATCGCTTCGACAAATATGGTTTCTTGCCTTATGTTGATGCTTTAGCGCAGATTTGCGGGAGTTGTGTGCGTTTTACAAGGCAGCGAATTGATGTCACATTGACGTGCATGTGATTGTTGTATTTTGCCAACTTGTGTGAAGAGTTTGCACGAACGTTAGGGAAGGAAGTCATGTAGTATGAGTTTTACTTGATAGCTGCATTGCAGGGGTACGATTTCTCAATACCATAATAAAACTTAAAATTTATATCGATAAAATATAATGTAATACTAATGAATATCATAATATATTATAAATATTGATAATTGTAGTGTAATTATGAATATTAATTATGTAAGCATGTGTTATATATGTGTAATAGTTATATATGTGTTATACTTTACTGATATAAATATTAATAAAACAAAAGAATTGAAGGTTGGCAACGAACCACAAGCATTTGACACGGACCATTTTCACGAGCCAACCCGTGCGACTCGAAGAGCCTGATTGGCCAGCTCAAGCTTGATCCAAGTCTTGAAATTTGGTCTTGGCTTGAGCTTTGAGTCAAGCTGTCTCGAACTTTTTCGGGCCATTTGAGCTGACGGGGCTCATTTGTCATTCTAAATGTATTGTTTTAACATTTGAATGTTATTAAGTCCTTATTTGGTTAGGATTAAAATCAGATTTTTAGTATGTTTTAATAAAAGTTGATGAAATACGTGCTTGAAAAGTTATGTAATCCATAAAATATATGATTAAAATTAATAGTTAATTTTGACTTAGATTAAAGTTTAAATTTTAATTGGTACCAAACAGGGACTAAATTAAAATTTCTTTTATTTATGCGTTAACACATCATTGTATTTTTATTGTGCATGTGATCAAAAGTGCCTTCAATTTATTGGTGACATACATATTAGGTGCTTGCATTGAGAAATATATACACACACTATTTATATATCAATTGAGAAATAATTGTCCTAAACCAAAGATTGGCACTTTGTTTTGATAAGGTTTGTTAAGAACTTCTACCAATTTGGGTATGAAACTTGTCTTGACCTCGACGAGAGGATCTTAAGAGTGGTGACACTAGTATTAGATATAAATTATAACTTCAGTTGCATTTATGCTTATATTCTATGGTAATAACTTATATAGATCCAAGAGATGTGGTTTAGTCAAATAAGAGATTTTCTATTGTATCGAGTTAATATTACTCTATTGTACTCCTATATAATGCAATACGCTGATGGAATAATTGAGTTTTCTTATTCTCTTTAATTACATGGTATCATAGCCTAAACATCTCTCTTTCTATGTATTATTACACTAGCCAACCTCGCAACCTCGGCCACTTCCTTTTTTAGCCAATTTTGCAACCGTTGCCTCATCTCTTTCTGCTTTGCAATTCAGACTCCTCTCAAACTGACCACAACCAACTACCTCACTTGAAAAAAATTTCCAAACCTTACTCAACGGATATGATCCTATAGGGTATGTTGATGGTACATATCCTTGCCCACTAGCCATCGTCATAACTAATGGCACCACTATGGCCAACACAGCCTTTGCACATTAGATCTGTTGATCCCAAAAAATTTCGTCAATAGATCCCCGATCTCATCCTCTCCACACTTGCACACGAAACACTCCGTTAGGAGGCAAAGGCCGTTGATTAAAAAAAAGGTCCGGCGACGTTTGCACTCCAATGGTCAAGTCAACAATCGGATGAAATATAAGAAGAGTGCAAGAGTTGAGAGGGGAGAATTGGCTAGAGTTGTGAAAACATACCTTAATTGTATGATGAAACCCCATATATATAGAACATGAAGATGGGTCGAGTGCGTTAATGGGCATCGTCCAAGTTCAATAGAAAGGCTCAATATGCAACAATTTTATAGGCATAACTTCTTAATGATCTTGTCAGATTCCTTTTTCCATATATAATCCCATTTGTTTCCTCCTCCAAAGCCTGTCATGATGATTGGACTGCTCTTGCAACAACTTATGCTAGACCATCTCATGCTTGTGTCATGCACATCAAGAGTCGTGTATTTAATTTTACAAAAAGCTCTAAAACCATTACCGAATGCCTCCAGCAAGTCGAAAGCAAGACACGTGAACTTACTGTTATGTATGCAACAATTCATGGCGAAGATCTTGTACTCAAAATTCTCCATGAGCTGCTCATGGAATTCAATGATATAGCCTTTGCTGTCCAAGCTTGAGAATCCCCAATCTCCCTTGATGAATTGCACAAGAAGTTTATTAGCTTTGAATCCCATATCGAGTCCTCCACTATGACTACCTTATATTGTCCCTCTTTTACATTTTATTTCTTTAAATCCATCTCATCTTTCTACCAACTGTACCCGACGGGTACCCAGTGACGGACACTGACATTTTGAGATGGGTGCAAAATCTAACTTGCAAAAAAGTTGTGATATAAAGTATTCAATATTTTATTACAATCATTCTCTAATCGTTCTTTTACTTTAACAACGTTCCATGAGTACATCATTTTCAATATTTTCAAATACATCATTCTCAATATATGCAATCAAACTATTATTCAATCATTGATCTTTGATTCGATTGTGCAAACTATTCTTGAAATAAGTTAATACAGTAAATGACTACTTGACTATAACAGTAGCCATGAGAAGAATTAATGTTAATGTTACAAGCTTGTAGATTAATGGAAACACTTCATACTTATTTTTCACAATCAACTTTTGTGCACGATCACTAAGGCCCTATAGTCCTTTAAAATCTTCATCGGTGCGCATGTCAAGAATATATGTATACAATTAATCATCAAGTTTTGAGATATCTGTTGAGTTAAAATCTCCCTCACATAGTCAAATCAATTTGTTTTTGTTAAAAGCAACAAGTGAATTATTTGGACATGGACACGCAATACAAGGGAGTAATTCATTATTTAACTAAAACGTTTAGCTTTGTTAATGTAGAAATATTTGTCTTAAAGGATGGAAAGCAATTTGATTATGCTGAATATTCGAAACGTAGAAAACACTAAAGCGCGCAGCAGACTCCAGCATTAGATTCTAATTAGTTGGAATTTTGATTGGGAAATGAAGATTTGTAGTAGATGTGGTGAGGGAGATGAGAGGGATTTGAAGAATTAAAGAATTAGAAGGGTCAAATAGTTTTGGACCTTTGGTAAAAAGGGTGAGGAGAGACAAGTGAGTCACGAGAAAGGAAAGAAAATGATAAGATGTGTGAATTTTTCAAAAAAGTAAAAAAAAAAGAAAAGAAAAAGAAAAAAAGAAATTCGAATTTTTTAAGTTGGGGGGATCACGTGACCCCCCATGCCCCACTCCCCTAAATTAACCATCTTCTAATGCCTCAAATAGGTACCAATCCAATACAAATCTTAAGTGACGATACTGTGGCTATTGCCAATGTCAAATTGCCCGCCAGCGCTCATCTCTTGCAAGCTACTCCACTCAGCGGGGATCATCTCATGAATCGCCTCAGTGGCTACCCTTTCCTCCTCCTAGTCTACTCCCTCACTCATTTCACCCGTCTCCTCAACTCATTCTACCACCATGCTATTACAGCTTACTCCTCGTTGAGTTCTATTTTACTTATCTCAGCATGTTATTACAAATGATCGATCTTCAAAAACTTTCATTCTATTTTTCTTATCCTTGTTAGATGAGCTCGTGATTAGTGATGAAAACATCCTGCCAATAACTGACTTTGGTTGTATCTTTCTCCAAACGCCAATGGGTCACTAAACTTAGGCTATAATATGCTTGAAAGCATTATGCCATTGTATGGCATAAATTAAAATCTATATTTTAATATAAATAAAATCAACAATAGATTTTAACAACATAGTTCATGAAATTTTTAACTTTTTAACTACACATTTCATCACCTTTTATCAAAATCTATTAAAAAATTGATTTTAATCGCCCAACAAATGAGCTCTATAAGTCAAAGTCAATTTATTTATTTATTTATTTTTACTCTTTCACAAACACGCATAGTCCTTACTTGGTTTAGTTAAGTTGATAAAAATAAGTCAATATCAATAATTAATTTGAATCATAGACATTATGGAACTTGCAACTTTTATCAAAATTTACTGAAAATATGATTTTTAGCAAAACCAAACGGGAGTCTAGTTTCAATTTGTCATATATCAGGATGAGGATCGGAATTAACTTCTTGAAGAGGGAAAAACTGTAGCTTGTTCTAAATAAGTTACTACACTTTAAGTTTTGTTTCATTGCAATCACTGGTTAGTCTATTTTTAAAAATAATGATAAATTTAACGTGTTAAACGGTCATACATCTTGCCATAGTAGAGTATGACTATTTTTAAAACTTGTGAATTAATTCTAATATACGTAGGCGATTCACTCGGGAGAGTAAACAAAACTACCAACACAATTTTATAGTTAGGTAACTAATTTTAACCGAACTAAAGTTCAGTGACCAATATGAAATAACTTTTAAAATTGAATAATTAATTTGAAATAAATTAGAGTTTAATTATCATATGATGACCCACGAGTTAAGTGGGCCAACCAGACCTTTTATCGCTTTTTTGAGTGCTCTCCAAGCCACGAACATTCCTTGCGTACCAATACCAAATTACATTAAGCCCATGTTTGGTTATGATTAAAATATAATTTTAATCTAAATCAAAGTTGAATAATTAATAATAATCACATCTTTCATGGATTTCACAACTTTTCAAAAACTTTCATCACAATTTACCAAAAAATCTAATTTTAATCTAGACCAAACATTATTTAAGCCTTTGTTTGGGCCTCATTTTTAGGAAAATAATGCATTTTTTAAATAGTGATTGATGGAGAATGTGTGTTTAAAAATTAAGAAAAAGTTTTGACTTTGCGTGTAATATTATTTTATTAAAAAATATGTAATTGAAAATGAGTTTTGAAAAAATGAACTTTTAGAATAATGAAGCTCAAATAGGACTGTTAACGAGCTCAGCTGAGCCGGCTAGCGAGCTGAACGGGTAAAATGAGCGAGTTTTTTTGGAATCTGAATCAAGCAGAGCTAAGCAAAAACTCGGCCAAAAAAATTCCGAGCCGAGCATGCCGACTTTTTTTCTTTTGGTTCTTTTTTTAATAAGTAAGACAACATAGCTGCTGCCTTTTACCTTAAAAGACAACAGTTGTGTTGCCTTAGTAGGCGGCCAGCTGCAACTGCCTTTTAAGACAACATTTTGCTGAGGAGGCAAACGAGTGAGTAGGAACTTTCTGCTTTTATTTTTTTAAGGCCTTGGGCCAACTAGGGCTCGGCCCGTCCTTCCAAAATGGGGCTTGGCCTAAAACCTTGAGTCAGACAGGTTCGAGCTTTTTTCAGGGTCGAGTCATGGGCGGCCCGAGTCAGCGAGTCGAATTGCTGTGCCTCGGCTCAAACAAGATGTAAGTCCTTGTTTAGTTTTCAATAAAATTTTAATGCATTTTTTCTACATTATTTTCAATCACACATTTTTTAATAAAATATTATTATACGTAAATAAAAATCTTTTCATTCTTTTTTAACTACACATTCTTCCAAAATTTACAATTCCAAAATACATTTGACCTAAATTTCTCATTATAGCCTCTGTCCATTATTGGTAAATGACATCGCACGTAGAAATTAAAATAAACAAAAGTATTCTTTGAAATATACAATATTTTTTGGTCATGTTCAGAAGTAGATTATTCCCAGTGAAAAGTGTTTTTAAAAAGAAATGTGTGATTAGAAAAATAAAAATAGGCGTATCATTGGAATGGTTTTTTAAATGATTTGGGAAGACAATCTCCCCAAAAAGGCTCAATCTGAGCGTTCGATAAAAAAATTAGTATCTTTATTAAGTTCTACAAAAGTTGTGGTTCAAAAATAGTAATTGCTAATGTAGTTGAAATTAATGTTTAAATTCAATTTAATAAAAATATTACTTTTAATGTTTAAGGAACAAAAACAATATTATCTGTATATATAGCTTCCGTTTGGCTTTCATTTTCATTTTCCTTCTCATTCTTTTTCTCTCTCTTATTTTCAACCACACAATCTTCCATAAAATAATATTACACGCAAATAAAAAGCTTTTTATTCTTTTTCAACCACACATTTTTCAAAAAAATACTATTTCATTTATTAAAACTTGAAAAGAATGGGGGCCAAACGAGGGCAAAGTACGGCTCTATTTGAGCTCCATTATAAGTAGATTTTTGGGAAAAAAATGTATTTTGTAATAATATTTTTTTAAAGAATATGTTGAAAAATGTTTGATTGAAATGAGTCAAATCACTGTTGAAAAATGTATTTTGACGAAAAAATGGCGTTCAAACAAGGGGCTAAATTTTTTGTTAAGATTGTAGTACTATAAAAAGTTTATTTATTAATTTTTTTTATTTCTTTTAATTAAAAGATTATGATTCATTGATTCCTATTATACATTATTCCATTGGTTTGATCGAATTGAAAATTAAGATATTTTAATATCCATTACTTATGTGTATTTAGTCTTGTAAGGTGATACTTCTTGATTCACATAGAATTCCATGTGTCCCATGCTATTCGGGTTAGAGCCATCAAAAATTTCCTCTCCCCTTATCGTACTACAACTTGGAAGTTTTCATAAACTGCTCAAGGTCGAGCCCTATAATTTGACGACGGACTTAAAAAATCACCTACAAACACTTTACGCCATTCACATCATCGTTTATTTGGTAAAATAATATTTTTAATTACAACAAAGATCATCAATTTTTATTCAGTGTTGCACTTAAACACTAACCTTTCCGTCTCACACATTAATTTCTAGCTCTTGTTTAAATTTGATTATTTGATAAGTGATTATTTGAAAGAGGGAAGGTGTGATTAAAAGTATGAAAAAATATAAAAAAAATGTAAGTTTTTTTTTAAAAAAAAAAATATAATTAATTTTCTTTTAATAATGTTTTTTTGAATTTCGCCCTTAGAAAAATATGAGAGTCGTTTCAGAACTCGGGATATCGTTTCACACATGCAGAGCCTGCCCGTTTTACATCGAAGATCGAGGTGGTAGCACCTTGGCCCTTGGACTTTATCCTGGGATCTCCAGCTTTTTTCGAAAAATATTGTGCGAATTATGCCGTCCAACAAGTCAAAAAGGAAAGGAATTGTGTCAAAATAAGAGGGCTTGAAATGAAAGAAATAAAATTCCATGAAACGCGTTGCGTACTAAATTACTAATCTCATTCACATCCGAATGGGACAGCTTTCCCACGAATAGGATCCAATCTCAGCCGTCCAATTATGCCGCCCCAACTACTTTTTTGGTTTACCCTAATTCCGAAATCAACGTTTCACGCGTATCCACCGTCAAAATATTTGCTGACCTTTTATTCAGAACCGTCGGATCACTCCACCCTCTCAATAAATTACGATCTTATCTCTTTCATTCTTTTGTATTCATTTCTTCATCCATTTGAAGTTCTGATTTCGATTCAGATCTACTCTAGTTCGTTTCTTTTCTCAAATTTTTGTTATGTTATCCTTGTAGATCGTGAAGTGATCTACGTTCTCAGTATGGCTTCAATAGCTTTGCTGGGATTGATTGTTCGACGAGTGTTTGGTGCCGTCAACGGAGAAAATCTGTGAATCGCTTTGCATCGATGGAGCACGGTTAGATCTGGGCTCAATTCAGCTGACGGATCAATGTAACTCGCAGTTCTGTTGGTAATATACTATGTTTTAAAATTATTTTAGCTTTATTTCTATGTTCATATAATGAATAAGACTTTCATGTTGCTGTCTTGCTTATATTTGTAATCAGCAGATCTGTTGTTGATATCTGCTTTTTATGAAATTATTAATGTTTTTTAGTTTTTTGCAGGATAAAGAAATGGCTTCTACTGACAATTCGTTGCAGTTTACGCTCTTTTTATGGTATCTATACTCGTCATGGTGTCCGAGCAGAGACATCTATTCTTGTTGATGCTCAAGGCCCGAAATCATTTGCGGATGCTGGATGATGGACTTAGAAAGGATAAAAATTCTGTCTACATGGATACAAGGTTCTAACATGTTTAATGGCTTTCATAATTATGATTCATTTAATGTTAATTCGAAAAAATGAGCTAGAAGTAGTTGTGACAAGATATTGAGAAAAGAGAGGCTATGTGTAAGAAAAGAGTGGCTTATGTTCGTCTCGCCGACCTTTGCCATGTCGGGTGCGCTCACATGGCAGGTCAAAAGCTCAATAAAATACATAATATTTTTGATTTTGAGGAGAGATGGTACGGGGATTTTTGCCCGGCTCTCTCCTCCGCGTGTGGTGTCTTTTTATTCTTTTCCTTTCCCTCCTCGTTCTCGTTTCTATTGCTGCGATAATTTTATTTCTGTTTGGTCCTTGAATGGGTTGGGGCCTTTTCCTGTGTTACAAAGATGTCATGAAACCCGTTCAAGGATAAAGCATAATTTATTTTTTTCCCGGAGCAAAGTCACCAGTAAGTCGCCAATGCCAGAATGGGTCTTCTCAAGTATCAACGATTTCCCAAGGTACAATGTTAGATATTTATTAGATAGCATCTGATTGATTAAAAACATTTCAAACTTACAATTGTTTAGCCATTCCATCTCATATTAAAGTTGAGCGGTTAGATAGGAAAGCTATGTCTGCAAAAATTAGGCTTTATTTTGTGTTTCAAGATTTAGCAGTTTTTGATAAAAGTTTGTTAAAATGTGGAGAACATAAACGCTGCTTGTCCCGAGATGTTTTTGATAAACTTTCAGCCATGATATTTTTTATTAAACAAGCTACATATTAACTTGCTTAATATATTGGTATTTTCTTGACCATGTACCAAACTTCTTGCAATCTCATGATTTGAGGGGTAACTTCTCGGAATATCCTTACTATCTTGGATTTTGGGTAAACACTCAATTGAAAGCTTAAGAATTTTTGAATGGTGATCATTTATTTCGTCCATCTATAATTAAATACCATTCCTGAATTTGCCGAAGAATAGAAAGGCTCAAATCAATTTGTTGTCATAATGTTTTGGTGAACGTCAAACATGGTTATTTGGCAAATCCAATTTTACCGGAGATATCATAAATATGTTTCACATGTAATTTACATATGGCAATGTTAACAAAATTATCTTATCTACTATCCCGATCCTGAATTCGTAACGTTCACTATGAAGATCAATCCTGAGCAACTAACAATTTTCGCTTCAATTCAGTTGTATAGTACAAAGTACGAGCGGAATTTATTGCTTGTTGTAGCTTTATTTTTCCTGGTCCTATACATATATGAATCTTATTCGTACTGTTTTTTACCTGGTGTTGAATTTATTTTGTCATTCTTGGGTCATTATCCTGCTGGAGTGTATTGTAGATTTATTGGTATTGACCAGAAGCCTTCTTTCTGTAATGTAATTGAAGGCCATTACGCATGGTATGTAGATGAGGAATGCAGATCTTTTTGATTTATACACTAGATCAGCGTTTCTCCATTTTCCTTCCATGGGAAAATGTTTGCAACTTTTTGTGTCATGTTGGTTTGGATTGCCTCACGGAGTGGAAATACATGAAGATGATCCTGTTTGTTTTTGCTGTTGATCCGCTGCTGCTGCCTCTGCCTCTGCCTCTGCTGCTGCTGCTGCTGCTATTGCTATACTTGATACTTCAAGATGCCTCATCCTTCAAAGCATCTAGAACCTGTGGATTGCGATGAATGTTTGTGATATATCTCATTTAATGCTTGTGCCATGTTCATTCCTTTGTGCTGTCCCTGCAAACTTGCTGAAGGTGCGTGCTGCTGCTGCTTGATATCTATGATTTGGCCAGTCCTGTGTTACAATATGCACAGGCTGATCATCAAAATTCTTCACTCTTGATACTGTTTTAGTGAACTGTTAATCCTATAAACGATGCTATTTGTTGAGTTCCTCATTCACAAACTGGTGGCCATAAATGGTGTTAATGTTCATGACGGTTGTTGATATGGATCTTGTATCGCTTTGCTTCTGCACTATAAGTTGTTTATGTCGATAATTATTCGAGGCGGTTGATCAGTTACAGTTATTTGATGTAGTTCATGGTAATGGTAATGGATTTTTTTAGTGGATTTAATTGCGATTTTTTTAGCGTTTAATGTCTTAATTTATGTTTTTGTAGGTGGACTTGGGATCTATTTCGTTGTGTTTATAGGGATGAACATTAGCCTTGGGAGAAAGTTAAGTGAGGTACATGTCCAAGGCGCTGTTTTAAAACCACTGTAAGTGGGAATACATTTATAATTGTATTTACAAGTAATATATAGTCGAGAAATTTGCGTGTTGAGGTTTTGATTATTTTATGTATTTAGAGGAGAAAATAAGCTATGAATGTTTAGTAGTTTTCCTCATCCCTAAGAACTGTCGACCAAACATACACTGCCTTGAGGCGGGTACCTGCTCGATGCGTATCTCAAATTGCGTTGTCACATTTAGCTTTAAATTTTGAATTTCGGCAGAATTCTGATGTGGAAATCAATTTTGCAACTGAGCTTGGTTTTTCGATTAATTTGGGACGAAAACGGAATTTCAGTGTTGGTCCAGTTAAAATTCTATTAATTTTGCAAACTGCTTTTTTTAATTAATGAATTTTTTAGTTTTATATTAACTGAACTAAGCTCATGTCTTTCCTCGTGTTTTAAAAAATTCATTTTTTATAAATTTATTTTCAACTACATGTTATTTCACTAAATAATTCTGTACTTCATTTTGAGTTTTGAATTCATTTTGAGTTTTGTATTTTGAGTTTTTGTTTTGAAATTGTTGAAAATGCGTTCTTTTTGTTAGTTTCTCAAAACAAAAAAAAATAATTTTTTTTTTTAAAATTTTGAGAATCACCACACCACCACCTCAAAACACAAAAAATAAATAAATAAATAAATAAAAATAAAAAATAAAAAATTTTAATTTTTTTTTTTAAATTTTGAGAATCACCACACCACCTCCTCAAAAAAAAAAAAAAAAAAAAAAAAGGTATTTCCATTTAAAAAAGTTCGTCTGTCAAACAGAAAATTACATAAAAAAGAGGGAATTGGTGAGGCAAATTTAGTATACTGTTGTTCATTTCTATTTTCCTCAAGAACCAAGAAAAACTATGTAAATATACAAAGAGATAATAGATTCATATGCGCACACATAATTTTTATAGAATTTTATAAAATCGTTTTTGAAAACGTTTTCGAAAATTCGTTTTCGAAAACGGGTAAGAGAACACGGTTTTACCGTTTTGAAAAATCGAAAATAGAAAACGACCCGAAAACGGTAAAGAGAACAGGGCCTTACTTTTTCAAAATATATTTTCCTTGAAAATGGGTTGTCAAATTTATTTATTTTTGCAGCAGGGCCACATGTTCGTTTGGCCTATATTAATTTTTGTTTCATTGTATTTCATTTTTTCCTTTCTTATTTTTAACTGCACAATCTTTTATAAAGTAATAAGTAAATCAAAAATTTTCTTCTTTTTCGGCAACTTGTTCTTTAAAAAAAAAAAGAAGCTTATTTCATTCATTTTTATTATCACAAAATGGGTGCTATTTTAATTTGGAATGCCGGATGTTGACCGTGCATAGTTGTATTGCATACGAATTCAAATTCTTGGGTAACCAGCCTAATCATCACCTCTTGAGCGAAACTATGATATGGAGAAAAGTTATTATCTAATCCTCAATAAAAGGGGATGGGGTGCGACATCTATTTTTGATAGGTCAATTTAGTTACATTCGTAGGTGGTTTTGGTGGAAATTACTTGAAAAATGTCTGGTGGGAAAAGATTACCTTCATTAATATTATATCGGTATGTATCACGGGGCATTCTCTCATAATTTTAACTCTGCCATTTGATCAAACCATGATTTGGAAGAAGACTGAATGAAGTGTGTGTGACACCGTGTGCAATTAGATTGGAAATAACAATGGGACAAATTCCTAGTAGAAGCTTTATAATTTAACTCTGTTCTGATTGGATGGATCCAGAAGCACAAAAATGGGAGTGCGCTCGATTGCTTTTTGCATTTGAGAGGTTGGTGGTTCGAATCCACCTGGATCCGCTATTTTATGGTTGTCAAGAATTGAAATTTTGTGTAGGTTTTTTTATTGGAAAATATAGTATTTAGAAATTTCTTTTACATGTTCTTTTACATTTTGAGTTATAGTTAATGTGTAATTTGCACGACTAAGAGGGGCCAATGGAGAGGCACAATTATGCGTGTTGGAATTTGGAAGAAACTTTTAAAGAAATTTCTTAATTGAAGACTTTCCAACATAATTTGAAGAATTATTAGGAATTAAGTTTGCACTGTATTCATCGAATAATAATTTGATTTTTTATTGACCTATATGAAATGTAGATCAAACTTATTTGTTGTACATTATGTGCTTGTTTTTTCCAATCCGTACGAACTATGAATAGATTTTCAATAGTTTTTTCTGTGCCACATGCATTTAAATATGAATAATACCATCTTATGTCGGTAATGTTGGATATAAGTTTAGATAGCTATTGAGGTTCACCTGTATTGGTGTTAAATAAGTTTAAAATGTTCAAGGATTTTTCCCTTTAGAACTCGAACTATTATTATTTTTGAATTAGAAAACTTGAACTATTATTAGCGAAAAACAATCCTATGCAAAATATGTTATGAAAATAAATATAAAGGGAAAACTGTTGATATCAATTGATTTTATAAGTTGGTTTTTGATCAATCATTTAAGGCAAACTTGTTAGATACATAATTTCTTTAGTCGGATGTGTTCAACTTTACGAGTATATTAACGTAGTTTACTTGGCTTCTCAAAATCAATGAATGAGTGAGGAATTAAGGTAGAAAAAGGAGCTGCTTGGGCTTGGAAATTTTGCAGTCTAATATTAATGGAAAAATAAAGTCATTTGTCCCACGTTGAAAAATAGTTTACTTTAAATTGCTCTAGTTGGAGTAAATGGTTTTGGTCCGTCTTTGGTGGGGGGCCCTATATGTTGGTGGCCCCACAGGCATGTAGCGTCAGTCGAGTTGGGCTCGATTGTTGGTTATGTGTCGTGGGCTTAGGAATCAATCAAATCGTGATAAGTGGATTGTGACACGTGGCACATTATACGTGATTCTGTATCATAGAATGTCATGTGTCAGGTTCTAAGAAGGTGACTGTCAATCCTTTGGTCAAATCTGAACGGGTCTATGAATAATGAGAAATGTTAGGTGAGAGGAGTGAAACCCCTTCGATTAAAAAAAAAAAAAAAAAAAAAAAAAAAAAGAAGTTGAACCTTAACTTTGAAGGTCTTTAGCGTCCCATCTTTAAAGTTTTGTGAGGAGGATATTTTTTAAAATAAATAGACAAAAGATTTTAATGGATGATAATGACAAATTAAGCACTGAAAGTTCCTTTGATCCCATGTTGCAAACCAAATAATTGTATCCAATTGGAAGCTTGAAGAATTCTTATATTCGTTGTTTATTAACTTTAGAATCTGTTTGCCAGCTTTTCCATTTTTGCTTTCACTTGTATAAGAATTTCTTGAGGAAGTTATTTATATCAATTTTCTTTAAGTATTTTTCTATTTAAACCAAGCACTTGCATAATATTATCCAAATATTTTCAAAAACAATTTTTTAATTTCAAAAATAACTTTTAACTTTTTGAAAGTCTTATCAAACATGCCTTTAATCTCGTTAATTTGCTATAGTTTATTAATGAAGCTATTTGGTCCACGATAGGCAATATTCTCTATAAGAATAATTAATACAAAATGTTCTTACATTTTAATGTTAATGTATAAAATATTTATACATTTTTATCTTTTTGACTTTTTACCCTTACTTTCATATTTCATTGCGAAAATTATCATTTTCATATATTTTTCTCAGTTGAAAAGGTTATAAAATGACGAATATACAAACCTATTTAAATGAAGCAAAAATAAAGAAAAGAAAAATAATGAACAAATCGCATCTATTTATCACTTTCTTTTTTAATTATTTAATTGTATTTTTTGAAATTTTTTGGAATATAGTTGCAATTTGTTATTTATTTTTCTTTTCTTTATTTTTGTTTTATTTAAAGAGGGATATATTAATCATTTTACAGCTTTTAATTGAAAAAAATAGATGAAAATGATTATTTTCATAATGAAATGTGAAAAAAATGGTGAAAATGTCAAAAAATAAATGGTAGAAACATTTTGCACAATCATATTAAAAGCTGGAAAGCTTTTGTGTTAATTACCTTTCTATATCACTCTATTCTAAAAAAATAACTTTTAATTTTTGAATGTTCTACAAAACGAGTTCTTGTCAATTTGTAATAATTTTTTAATTAATTAAGCTGTCTCGTCCACAATTAGCAATAAAGAGAGGAAATTACAGCCTGGCCGGTATTTAAAGATCCAATTTCATAAACCAAGGATTAAGTTTCATAATACAAAAATCAGGTTTTAATTAATATTTTATTATGCTTTAAATAAATATTTATTCATCTTGAATGCTTCCGCTTTTAACTTGAAAATTACAGAGAGAAAGTTTTCAAAATAGTAAACAATCTCTTAGAAATTGTAAAATCTTCGAACATACCCCCTATCAATCAATAAAACCAAATTGATTTTTACCCAAATTTCACAAAAATATCCTACTTCATTTCAATCGACAGTCAAACCTACTACCTCATTCTCTCATGGTACCTAAGCAAAATCTCTAAAGTCGCGCAGTTCTGTTTGCTTTCCAAGAAGATCGAACATGGAGGGAAGGGTTGGTATCGGTAATCTTGTAAAATGGCCATTACGAAGAGTTGTGACCGGAAATCTCGATCCATTTTCGGCGACACATCTAGAAGTGAACTAGGAAAGAGAAGAAGCCCGAAAGTAAAAAAGAGAGTTCGTGAAGAAATCCCCAAAACGCCGACTGACTCGTGAAAATCAAAATCGAAAACTGTAAGTTGATTTTTTTTTTCCTTTGAGATTATGGGTAATTCATTTTTCTAATTAATTTGGGTGAGTATGAATAGCATATTGTCAATTTGTTAGGAAATCTTTCCAATGATATTTATGTGAACAATGCGCGAAATGTGGATTGTGCCCAATATTATGAACTATCTTCAGATTGTGAGATGTTTTCGTGTGGCCACCCTGATTTGTGTGACTAATGCCTGAAATGTTTGTGACCAAGATAATGAAATATCATTATATTGTGAGATGTTCTAGTGTGCTAGATTTTGGTGCTTGCATAGGCAATCTCATTGTAAATGCTATGATGGGGGGATTCTGGGAATCAATGCAATAACTATATTGTAGCATAAATGAAATCATACACCACACTATTTAGGAATATGGATTGTGGCCAATATGAGTGTGACCAATATAGGTTGTGACCAGTATTATTTGTGTGAACAATGCATGAAATGTAGATTGTGACCAAGATTATGAACTATCTTCATATTGTGAGATGTTTTCGTGTGACCAATAAGGATTGTGACCACCCTGATTTGTGTGACCAATTCGTGAAATGTGGATTAAGACGAAGATTATGAAATATCTTGATATTGTGAGATGTTTTCGTGTGACCAATATGGATTGTTACCACACTAATTGTGGATTGTGATCAATATTAAGAACTATCCTTAGATTGTGAGATATTTTTGTAATGGTTCGTCGACAGTAAAATGTTCTTGATTTCGTGCACAATGTAAATATGATGTGATCAATTTGAGAATCCGACATGTTTACCCTCTCTTTACTGTGATGCAGGAATGGAAGTATATTATCCTGAGAGATTGTTGATTTTCGGGTAAAATTACAATCAATACGAAAAAGACTGTTTTGTCAAATTTCACATCGAAATTCACTGATGAACAACTGGCTATCCTAGCAGACACATGCTTTTCATACTACATGGAATGCCACGAAATCATATTGCAGCCCCAATTGATGCTAGATGAGCTAGGCTGGACATTGCTACATTACTCTTTAAACATAAAGAGATCAAGAGGTCGACAACACGGGTGAAGCCAAGGGGAGAGAGATTGAAATTGAATGATTATAGAATTTTAGTTTAGTGGCTAGTAGATTTGCGATTTTTTTGATATTTTGAAATGTTGGGAACAGATAAATGGAAATTTCGAATGTTTACGTTAATGCAATAGTGGAATTGCATTTGATCATGTGTTTTCCAATTTTCTAATGGTTTCACATTTCTACTGTTGTTTGAATGCTCAATGCAACTTACATTCTCTAAGGGCACAGTTCTCTTAGTATCATTTAGATGTTACATTTTCAGTTGTTAATCACTTCGATGCCTAGGTCCCAGGTGTTTGATTTATATGATTAGGTCACAGATTTGTATGCTCAGGTCACAGGATTTTTGTCACAAGTCCAAGGTCACAGGTACAAGTCACAGGTCACGAGTCCAAGGTCACAGGTCACGGATTTGATTGCCTTTGTGTGCACAGGTCATAGGTTACATCCGCGTGTTAGTTTTTCACAGCTCACATTGGCGTGCTCAATTCATAAACTCGTGTGCACAAGTCACAGATCACCTTTGTGTGCTCAAGTCATGGGTTACAGTTGCGTGCTAAAGTCACATGTCACAGATTTGTTTGCTTTGGTCAAAGGCACTAGTCATGGGTCATATCTTTTTGTACATAGGTCACATTATAACAGATTTACGTGTCTAGGTCACATATCACAGACTTGTGTGCACAAATCATAGCTCACATTTGCGTGCTAGTTCTTCACAACTCATATTCGTGTGCACAAGTCACGATCTATACCTTTTAGAGTCATGTACACCAAAACATTACTGTCACTATTTATTTTGACCGGAGGCTAATCAACGTTCAATAAGTAATTCATTGCGACCATGACCTTTGCAGGATCCAAATCGAACTTTGTCGTTACTGCATCCACGAGCTTCACATAACAACAAGTATGATAGAGCAAGACCAAGGGTGAATGTGCTCCTTATAACAAGCATACGTAAATATATCACATTTTTGCAATAGTGCACAAGAAAAAATTCAGTCACAAATAATATTACAAATCACAATTCATTCAGATACGGGTCACAGATTACAAAAACATTTGAGAAACTGGAGAGTAAATGGCGGAGAGAGGAATTCTAGACACAAACATAAATATGGTCACAAAGACAAATTTCAATTACAGAAACATTCTCATATGCTTTTCATAACTTGGCAGGCGTTTATAGAGGGAAAGTTATGGTCACAAATCCATAATTTTGCGATATAGATAGAAATTAATGTCACAAATAGATATTCTGGTCACGAAGACATTCTGTTATGATTTTCATAACTTGGTGGGCGTAATTATCGTAAATTTAACATCAAAAACTTAAAGCCTAGTCACAAATACGCACACATTTTGCAATAAAGAAAAAAATTAACGTCACGGACATATATTCTGGTCATAACCACATTTGCAGTACGCTACACAATTTTTTAAGATTCATAGATTTGTAATACGCGTTTGTGACCAATATCACATAAATACGACCAAATAATGCAAATAATCGTTGTTTGCTATCTATTTTCAATTGAAATAAATGTAACATCACATACCGACTATTTTTCAGACGACACAACTGTTTCAGATAAACACACTAATGAATGATTGTATCCACTGGAATCCAATTAATTGTGACCACCGTCGACAACTATTTTTCAATTGCAGTTTGAGTAAGTCGCAATCACGAAGAATTGCGCCATATTAATATTTGTGGATTTTTTTTCCAGAGACGATAATGCTGTTTTTTTGGAAAATTCTGTTGGAATGGTAATTGATTACTTGATTTCAGGAACTATATTTACTCATACCATATATAAATATATAAAATATATTATCTATTATATATCCATTTACGACCTGAGTTCTGAATATTTGAAACATGTTCCTTAAATTTGAAATGGTGAATTCTAACGACCTGGGTTATGTATTGTTCCCTTAGCAATATTCACTACGGGCCTTGACATTTTGCAAATCATTTTCTAGAAGCACGATGTACTAATCAAATCAAGTGAGGAAAATGGGTCAAATTTTGTGTGTCTCGACTTGACTCTTGGCTTTGCAAAGATTCTTCTTAGAAACCAAATTCACATTTGGCATGCTAAATTATGTGATTTATACTTTTCTTTTAATAGTATTATATATCTAAAGTGACGTTCATGTTCGATAATTAATTTCGACCACATATTTTATCGGTCGACAAATTTTCAATCACATATTTCACAACTTTTTATCAAAATTTATTAAAAATTTCATTTTAATCCTCATTAAACAAGAGCTAATGTCAAATAAGATAGAAGATTGCTTCAAGAAATGTCAAAGCATTAGTTTTTATTATAACCACTAATAGGTGGTGTTATTATTATTATTTTTTTTTACACTTATAATTTAAATTAATAAATTCATAATTTTCGTGGATGAAGTGAAGTCCATTCCCGTTACGTTAGAGATCTTGTCCACATTTTCAAAGCAATCAGACATGTGGAATCTACTTAATCAGCATAGTATGATTCTGCCTTTGACGGTGACGGAACAGCACTAAATAAAAAGGAAAAGAAATCATAGGCCGGATGACTGTCTGTGATTTCAACAAAATTGACGTTGATGTGACTGTAGAAAAATTCTGCATACAAAAGTACACTGAACGTTCAAATTCTAGAACGAGCCAACGAGGCCGTGGAAAATATCTGGATCGTTGATTTTTGCCGATATAAAGTAATTATAGAGAACCACACAATCACTGTGTTCAGAGCTCGCTTGCTCGCGCTTTCTGTATGTGTATGTATCAGCTTGAGTGAATAAGCATTTATTCTGCGTGTCAATTGCTTCAGTTTGTGGAAGAACTTACATGACATCCTATTAAGATTAATAATACGCAGCGCGCTCTCTTTCTCTAGGTAGTATCCGACTGGTAAACTTTTGCTATTTTTCTTATTTTTTTTTTTCAATCCGCTTGATTTTATGAATATGTTATGTGATTTCGGTATTGGTTTCTGCTTCTTGGATCACTTTTGGTTTCTGGATTTTTTTGGACATTCAATGGCTCTGATCCTGTTTCGATGACGATTTTTTATCATTCTGATAAAATCGGTATAACTGGAACTTGACAAAATTGCGTTTGCTGCTTGATTTTTTTGTTGCCTCTAGATGGAAAGATGTGATCTTTCCAGATTATGAACGGGGATTGTGTAGGGAATGCAATGGGAGGAATTGAAAGTTGTTTAATTTGAGAATCTTCATCATTTTATTTATTTTTCCTCTATAGAGAATCGGAATTTTATTCATTTTTATTCGTTTATGTGCGAAAAGAAAAATTATAAATTTTTTATTGTTATTGGACACTCTTGGTGGGTCGGTTTCGGTCCGGTTCGCCAACCTTAGTTGACTTAATGCTGACATTTTGAATAATTTTCTTCTGTATTAATTCGCCTTTGGCTTTTGAACGAACATATACTCGTTTACATGTAAAGTTTTATTTACTTATTTATAGACTTTTGGTTGAGATGTTCTATTCTAACTCCATGCAAAATCCCAAGATGAATTGACAGGATTGAATCGTATGAATTTCTGCAAAAAGATTGGGTTACTCTTGGTTGCTAGTTCCAAAACTAAACTGTAGGCCAATACAAAAAATATGAGAGTGAATTCTGTGATATTGTACTGTTAATAGCTTTAAAGACAGAAACTAGATTTTGGATATTGCATCTGTGTACTTTCATGCCGTTCAATGTTCATGATTATTCAACTATAATTTTCTATAGAGATTAGTAATTTATAATTATCTGTGCACATTAATGCGCTTTCTAACTGTACTATAATATAATTTGTACCATTTTCCATACTACTATACACCACCTGGATTTTTTTTTGTTTTAGTATTGCTTTTTTACGATTTATTTGTTTTACTGCTTATAGTTTCTTTCATAGTAGATCGGTACTAAAATGGTTTTCTATAATTTTCTTTCATAGGCAAGCTTATTAAGTGGCACTAGCATTTACCATGTTCCGCCGCAAGAATAATTGTCAGAGTGATCAGGAGAGTGAGGAGCTGCAGCATGAACACAAGGTAATAACTTCTGATTCCACAGCAAATTTATAGTACATTGATTTGACTATATGTTATCTGGTTGAAGTCACTGAAATAAAAGTGAATGTTAGTTTCCCTAGAATCCTAATTTCATCTAAATGCATGGTCACCACATTTACTTATAGACAGATAATTATGTTTCTTGTGAATTCTATTTAATATTTTGCAAATGAAAGGAGATTTAAAAATCTGCAGCCACTAGCCAGTATGTTATCTTCACCGATTAACAAAATTTCTGAGCCTTCAAATATTGAGTTCGATTCCCTAACGAGTAATGATTACCATTAGATTTTTGATACTTCCTTACTGCTCAAATGATTGCAAATGATCTGGTTAAGATCTGCATGCAGGTCAACGAGCTTAAATATGCTCTGGGACCACTTTCAGGTCGTAGCTTGCAGTATTGCAGTGACGCGTGCTTGAAGCGATATTTGGATGCCCAGAACTGGAATGTGGATAAGTCAAAGATGATGTTGGAGGAGACATTGACATGGAGATCTGCCTATAAACCTGAAGAAATTCTCTGGGTAAGAGAGTTGATATATATGTTTTTTTTTTTTTAATTGCTTGCGAACACAATATGGTGAGAACTGTGTTTATCACAATTCATAGTCGGAACTAATTCATCTTTTTTGGATTACATTTGCAAATTGTTAGTTATTCTTGCTGATGGTATACAATTTATGGCATCTCCCCTAATTGTTCTTCACTCTGTGATTTTAATATACAATATGGCTTAAAGTTAATTGATCATCTAAATGCTTGTCACCTGCTAGCCTGAAGTTGCAACTGAGGGCGAGACAGGGAAGGTATATAGAGCTAATTTTCATGATCGTCATGGCAGTACCGTTCTTATACTAAGACCAGGAATGCAGGTATCTAAATGTAGCTCTCATCTCTATTTTTCTAGATGATGAAAAGATTATGATATCTGTTATATCTTTGCAGAATACAGTATCACTAGATAACCAGATGAAACATCTGGTTTATCTCATAGAAAATGCCATACTCAATCTTCCAGAAGGTCAAGAACAGATGGCATGGTTAATAGACTTTACAGGATGGTCTTTAAGCACTAATATCCCCATCAAATCTGCTCGAGATACTATCAATATAATACAAAATCATTACCCTGAAAGACTAGCTATCGCCTTTTTGTACAACCCCCCGCGCATATTTGAAGCATTTTGGAAGGTTTGCTTTTTATAATCCTAGACATTCTTTTTGGGTCTATATAGCAAAACAGGGAATAGACTTTGCATTGTGTTCCTCTTATGTTAATTATGCACGGTATTGTTTCAGAATGGTTTGAATCATCTTTATATTGGGGATTTTCTTTGTGAGGGATGGTGTTGGATGAAAATTAATTAATTTTGTGTGCAAATCTCAATGAGAAAGTTTTACATTTTATGCTGCAACTTTGTTCATGTTTTATTAGGTGAAAAATTGATCTTTCCTCCATGCTAATTTAGAGATGTTCATCTGTTGCAGGTTGTAAAGTACTTTCTGGATGCAAATACATTCCAGAAGGTGAAATTTGTCTACCCAAAGAACAAAGATAGTGTGGAACTCATGAGATCCTATTTTGATGTAGACAATCTCCCAGCTGAGTTTGGAGGGAAAGCCACGCTGCAGTACGACCATGAGGAATTCTCAAGGCAAATGGCGCAGGACGATGTAAAAACTGCTAAGCTATGGGGTTTCGACCAGCCCCAATCTAACAGCCGTGGATGAGCTGAGGTGTCTCCAGAACCTGAGTACCTTGCTCCACCAGTCAGCTAAATTTTCTGTACAATGTTGAAATTATACTACTGAACCATTCGGGCTATATAAGTCCTAATTATAAACGGGAATATCTCGTGGAAATAATTCATAAATTGTTTTTGCTGAAGAAACTCTAGTTTTATCCTTTCTCATTTTTTTTCTTTCATAGCCACTTTAATCTTTTTTGAGCCTGCCCTTTTCTGTTTATGCTTCTCCTAGGGTAGCATGAACGGCGGATTTCATGTTGCTGCTTTTACATGGCAATCTTGTTATCACAACTCAAAATCTTGTGAAGTGTTTCCAAACATCCGAATATTTTCTATTTTTTTTTCTTCCCTAAACATGATGGTGAAAGTAGAGGAGCAGACATTGAAGGAGTTCCATCAATAGCTTCAATTTCACTATGTATATCCACGTTCATATCTATATGAATCTAACAAGAAACCAAATAAGTACAAGAGAATGTGTTTTTGTTAATGCTTACTGATGCTACCAAAAATCGTACTTATAGATTTCCCGAGCTTGATGACGGATGTGGAGCACGATCGTGATCTTCCGATACCTGAAACAAAGGCAACGAGGTGTGTTCTCGTCGCCCCTCCGATGCTTAAGTCAGAAAGGGAAATATAAGCGTGAGGCTATGTGCTGAAGAACAATGTAAAACGTACCTGAATAATGGCCCAAGGTTCTGTATTTATAGAGGTAGGTGGTGTGTTCATATTAGGATTCCGTGTTGCACCTGTAGTAGGATAGCTTGATTTTGCAATCTTACACCAATGAGTCCTACGCGAGACAGGAGTTTGAATTGAGGTATAACTGTGATACCAATAGAGTTCTTCAGGGCATAGGAAACATGAATTGAGGATTTTTAGTCAGAATAAATCTCTCGTTGGATAAGGCGCTGTTGTAGGTCATAATCCCGAGGACAAAACCCCGAGGACATGTCGAATGATTGATGAATAACT